ATAATAGTAGTAATAGTAGTAATACTAGTAATAGTAGTAATAGTAGTAATAATGCACCACTGCTACGTGGACATGGAGCGGATCGGGGTTATCGAGGTTGAGGTCAGGGTGACACCTTCTGCAATTTCGTGCTGGCGATTTGTGACAAGGTGATACGAACTTGATTCGAAAAGACTCACAGAGGAAGCAGCCGTCAACTCAACTTTCATGCTGGGAGCGCTGCTTCGGTTCTGTCTCGTCCCAAAGCTGTCGAAGCCAGTCCTCCAGGATTTTGGACGGTTTAGGGTTTAGGGTTTAGGGTTTAGGGATCTCTAACACCAATCCAACAGGGAAGAAGCACTGAAACTGGAGCCCATCTGTCCTCGGGGAATGGATCCAAGCTCAGACCCAGCACCGACTGGCCTGAGAAGCTGGGTCAGAAACAAACGTCAGTGAATACCGTCCTGAGCACACATAAAGATATGGGTGGTTGTCAAAATTAAGGTCCCTTGTTGGGTGCCCTAAATAATAGGTGCTGTATTATAATAGGGACCCAAAAGGGACCATTGTTTTGACAACCACCCATAAAGATACTATGTCAAACCATCTTCAATAACCTCACCATCGTGATGGCTACGAAGTGTTCGGGCGAGCGGCGCCAGTAGACGAAGTCCGAGAAGCTCGGAGAGGTCTCGCCTGGCTGAGCAGCCTTGAAGGCCCCCATGTCGCTGCGCATCTCCTTACCGTTGGTGAGTAGGGAATGGAGGAATGGGGGGTTTAGGGTTTAGGGTAGTAGGGTTTAGGGTAGTAGGGAATGGAGGAATGGGGTATAATTACAACTACTATTGCTACCATTCTTCCATTCCCTACTAACCAGCGGTAAGTCTCCTTGCCGCAGAGCTCGGCCCGCTCCGCAACATCCAGGCTGGCAGCCGCCGTGTCCCGCTGTAAGAGCACGTCCTCTTCAGGGAACCGAAACAGCGGGGCAATACGCATGACATAATATACTAGAATCGAAACTCAGAATATGATATATGATATGATATGATACGGTACGATGTGATGCAATAAGAAATCAGTTTTCGGTGGACCCAGGGTTTACATCCTCGGTCAGCAGAGGGGGTGGCAGAAGCTCCGGCGCACGCCGCTGCTCGCCACTAGCTGCAAGATAGAAAGATTCGGGCTGTGAGGTGCCTCGCAGATATCTCTGCTGCTCGCCGATACTTCGCTCCAGAAGCTCCATCTTCTGCTGAACCAGGCAGACGCTCCGGTCGAAGAATTCCGTGCGCGTGCCCCTGGCGTTGACTCTGTGCGTGGGCGCTTCGGGGGATAATGGGGCTTCTAAGGCATCCCACTGACTCCGCATGCGCGCCAGAATGCCGCACCAGAGCATCACACTTCCCTTGAAGCAGCGCATGCTGGAGCTGAGCTCCGCCAAGCGTGAGAGGCGGTCCCCTGGCCGGGCCCCTTGCACCGCCCGTAGAGGACCCGACGTTGCTCCAGGATTCTCTGAGAAAGGATAGATCGGGTAGCTCATGCAGCTCTCCACCATATCCAGCATCTCACCGGCTGTCGGAAGCAAGATGGATTCTAAGGACTCCTGGATGGTAGCTGTCAGGGAAGCCATGGCAGTCTTCGGCACGGCTGGCTGCAGGCTGTGTTCTGCAGAACGGACAGTTAGCGCTTCCTTTCGGAAGTCCAGTAGGGAACGCAATCTGCCGGTCAGGGGCAGGGACGTGGAATCCTTCCGAAGCACACGGAGCTTCCAGAAAGGAGCAACCCTGGCGTCCAGCTCTGAGAAGTTGGAATCGTCGCCAAAGGCCCCGAAGGGAAAGGACGGCCAAAGACAGTGCAGCTTGCAGGACTCGACTGGATCTTCTCCCCGCCGTGCTCTCGGTGCGCTGGGCAGTGCGTCGAAGGTGTCTGCCGAGTACGTGAAACGTGCCCCAACCATGAGACTGTTCAACGGATCCTCTGGATTCGCTTCTAACTTCTGCCAAAAGAAGTCAGCCAGTCCCGAAAGGTTGTCGAAAGAACCGCTGACGCTGTGCTGGAGGTCGGTCGTATAGACGACACGGCATCTGCTGTCAAGTAACTCGCCCAAGACACGTCGGCGGCCTGAACAACAGACTGCTGTCTGCACAGTGCTAGTTATGACTGGTAGTTCTACTACTATGTTGTTAACCGTATCATTATGATTGTTACCTGATGACTACGGTTACTACTGTTAATACGATGATCATGGTGATTCTAACTGTTGCTATCATTACTGGTATTACCATCATCATAACAATTCCTCTTAGTAGTACTCTAACAACTGGCTACTGCTACTGCTACTGCTACTGCTACTGCTACTGCTACTGCTACTGCTACTACTACTACTACTACTACTACTACTACTACTACTACTACTACTACTACTACTACTACTACTACTACTACTACTACTACTACTACTACTACTACTACTACTACTACTACTACTACTACTACTACTACTTCTACTACTTCTACTTCTACTACTACTACTACTACTACTACTACTACTACTACTACTACTACTACTACTGCTACTACTACTACTACTACTACTACTACTACTACTACTACTACTACTACTACTACTACTACTACTCCTACCACTACTCCTACTCCTACTCCTACTCCTACTCCTACTGCCACTGCTACTGCTGTTGCTGCTGCTACTGGTACTGCCACTGCTACTGCTGCTCCTGCTCCTGCTGTTAGTATGGCCTTCGTTTCTACAGCTATGATTGAGATTACAACTATGCTGCTGATCCTATCACCTTGAGAATCTTACATTCTTCCGGCTGCCAATGCAGAAGGCCTCCGTCAATTGGGACGAAGCAGCTCAGAGGGACCAAGAAGCTTGCGCTTCGCACTGCGAGGGCCGCGGCACCCAACATGGTCCTCGAGAAGCTCGGCTCGGCTGAGTCCGTAAAACGCCAACTTCGAAGCGGTCCTCGCGCTGTCGATGTCGATGTTGTGATTGTGGAGTGAAACGAAGACGAAGTGCCTGCATCCGGGCTCTTCATAGTTCCGTGAATGCCGTTGCCGCAACAAAAGATGCGAGACGCCTCACCCCGAACCACCTCTGCACCCGGTGGGCTCGCGTCGGAAACGCGTGAAGTCCCAGGCGATCCTGTCACGACCCGACACGTAGAGACAGCCACTCTAAACTATCGGAAGCAGCTGCAGGGCTCGTCAATGCAGGTGGCTGGGGCCGGATGTACAGGATTCTGCAAGCATCAATCCCATTTGATCCTTCTTCTCTGCAGCTCCCAGAGGAGCCAGGTGGAAGAACAGCTCATACCTCCGAGCATGGGCCAGCTAGCATCGACAGAGACATGTAAGGAGGCTGACAAGTGAGGGAGCCGCCGAAAGTTGGCGTGTTCGAAGCTCTCCTTCATCTGCAGCACATCCTCGTTACTTCCTGCCTGACCAGCAAGCAGCACATCCCCCAGAGCAGCCTTGCGTGACATCCTAGAACTACCCTGGCCTGCATCTGTGCCTCCTGGAGTGCCGCAGCCCAGCGCTTCGCCGCCAAAGAGATCTGGTGCCTCGGCGGCACTGTCGCCGAAGGGCAAAGCAGGCCGCGCAGCAGGGCGCGCAATGGCTGCGCTCGGCTCAGCTCGCGGCGACAGGCGCTCGAAGGCTGACGCGTTGGTGAAGTCTCGTATCTCGAAGACGCCCTGGCAGAAACTTAAAACCGCCAGCAGGTGCGATCGAGTCTTCGAGACAGGCGAGGCGTGGCGCCTCCTCCTCTTGCTGCGACAAGGGCTCCTAGAGGAGAGATCCGGAGCTGCATGAAGATTCCACGAAAGATCGAAGTGCCCGAAGCCCACAGGCCTTCTCAGCAGGCTCGGGCTCGGCAGCCTCTCCACCACTGCCGCCACTGCCCTCGTCTGTCTCGCCATGGGAAGGGCTCCCTTCAATACTTCGGGCGCCTAGGCATGCATCCGCTGTTGCCCTTGCCAAGCTGGACAAAACACCTAAGGCATCGGCCCTCAAACTGCGCTGGTTGAACTTGCCTACAAGTCAGGCGCCGTGGCGGAAGAAGCGGCAGGCGGCTAGAGATCTGCCTGGCCGGAGGTGTCCGGCTGTCCAGATCATCGTCATGGAACGTGTGCTCATCGCTGGAGATGCGCATGGCCAGGGACACCAGCTGTGTCAGCCGGACATTGCGCACAAGGCAAATTAAGGTCCGAATCACAGGCTTCAGGCTCGCGCTGTGTGAGGTGAAGGTTTGCCGTACATCCTTGCATATACATTTACCGGCTGGCTAGAGAAATAGATACAAACATACAAAGATGTGCATCTAAATATATATATATATATATATATATATATACATATATATATATACATACAGATACAGATACAGATACAGATATATATATATATATATATATATATATATATGTATATGTATATATGTATATGTATGTATGTATGTATGCATGCATCCGTGGATGTCTGTCTGTCTGCCTGTCTGTCTGTCTGCCTGTCTGCCTGCCTGCCCGCCGGCCCGCCTGCCTCCCTGCTTGCCTGCCTGCCTGCCCGCCTGCCTGTCTGTCTGCCTGTCTGTCGTGTGTCTGCATGTCTGTAGGTCTGCAATTATGTCTGTATACATAGGGCCCGGAAGTAGATGTACACACAGCGAGAGCGAGAGATCTGCTCGTCTTGTTAAAGAATGCTGTGGGTCGTGGTGGGGAAGACATGTCGTTCCATTGTTCTAGATGCTTCTCCATGTTCATATCTTATGCCTCTATTTCTATCCGTAGGAAATTGAGCCAATGGCCTCGAGGGGAAGACTAACGCAATCTGACGCACCTCCATCCACGGCCTACTCTGAACCGTCAATCAGCCCTCTCAATTCGGACCCTATTCCCCTAAACCCCTACAGCAATGCCAAGCCCTGACCCCATGAAGATCCCAAACCCCGTAGAAACCAGGCTCTCCTGTCACGACTCCCAAGCAGACCGAGAGCCCTTCGCGACCTTCGGAGTTGGCTTGGACTTTGACCCCGACCTCAGAGCAGCTCGCGGCTTGGGGCTTGAAAAGGAAAGACAAATCGTGATACTGCTCATGGGAGTACGTGAGTCACAACTACCAACAGTGTCGGCAATAACACTGCGAACCATCTTAGTAGTCATGTGAACTATACGGCAGGGGTCATAGTCACGTAGGGGCCGTAAAAATTAGAATAGGGTTTTGGGGCCCATGTTTCTATACTGATAATCAAAAACGAACCCCCAAATAGTATTATTAAGGCGCGTATAGTAGTCATCCAAAAAGACGGACCTTTCCGCCCTTAGCTTTCAGGTCTGGGTCCTGCACTCCGCTGCATCCGTCTCTACCTGCAAAGCTCGCTCTCTCCCATCAAAGGCTCGCACGTAGAGCGGGTCTAGTTTTTTTTTTTTATATGGGCCCTTTTCGAACTGCAGAACAGTTAGAATTCCTGTACTAGGAGGAGCCGATGGTTGGGGCCTTCGGTTTGAAGAAGCGGGTCTAGTTTAGGGCTCAGGGCTCTAAGGTTCAGGGTTTAGGGCTTAGACTACAGAGAGTCAGTCTAAGGGTTTGCCACGGCCTCCTTCGCATCTGCAACTTTGGCTGACCTTCGCTTCGCGGGTGAAGGCGACTTGGCGTCTGACTTTGCCTGGCAGGGACGGATTCTACGGGGGTTTCCGAAAATGAGGGGTACCTTATGTTGGGGTCCTTCTAACAAGGATCCTACTGTTGGGTACTATATTAGGGACCCCTATTTTCGGAAACTCCCATACTGAGATCATGAATACTATGAGCACCAGTACTGCCATTACTCCTACTCTTCTGAACGATGCTATGATTTAGGGCTTAGGGTTTAGGGTTTCGGGCATTACGATGGTTTAGGGCACCTATAAACATCCCCACCCTTGCCTCCCCCTCTCCAGCAGCTTCTTTGGCTTTTCGTTTCGCAGGGGCGGCCTCTGTCTTGTCTCCCACCTGACCAAGGGACTCGAAAAAAGTCTCCCGAAGATCATATGCAATAATAGAACACGGTAATAATAATGATAATACTGATACTACTAACACTAGTAATAACAACAAGAAGACTACGAATAATAAGAGGAACAGCAACAGCAAAGTATACACCGCCTTCGAATCTGCAGCTGCTTTGGCTGATTTTCGTCTTGCTGGTGACACTGATGCAGGCGGTTTGGCCCGCTTCGCCTTGGGTCTTCGGTGTATGGCTGAGGTCTGCGGCAGCGGGAGGCTAGGATAAGATGCCGGCCGCCGCTTTGGGTGATGCCGGCTCTTGCACCTGGCCGCAGACAGAAAGAAAGCATCAAGTTGCAGATCGCCAGCAAGAACGGCCTGGGGTTTTGACTCCGCTTCTTTCGCTGGTGCCTCCACCTAGACTTCAACGCGGAAAATGGTGCCCAGCCAGACCATTTCTTCAAAGCAACAAATTACCTATACTATTTTGGCGGTTTCTGTTTATAACTATAGTATAACGGCCCCCAAAACCCTATGATGGTTATTCAGGCCCCTATATTAACTCCTTATAGTAGCCCCTATAGACCCCTTTTAAAGGAAACCTATTCTAATCAGTAAGGCCCCTAGATTCACTCCCCTTACTTAGAGGTTCATGGGTAGGGTTATAAGTAGGGTAACTATACTTGTAACCCATATTAGGGGACCTATAACCCCACTTATGACTACCCATGAACCTCCAAGTAGAACCCTAAACCCTATACCCTTATAGAATCCCTATAGATCCCTTTAAAGGGACCCTTAAGTAGATTTCACTCCGAGGAACCTCGGGCTTCTCGGCTTCGACCTCGGGGCCTCCGAGCTCCGGCAGCGCCTCATCCACCTGCGCGCCGCTCGGGTCGGGATTCCCAAAGGCTAAGGCCGAGGGATGCTTCGCCCCCCTGAACCCCTCTCCGCAGGGGTGCAGACTGCAAGCTTTCGTGGCTGAGTCGAAGCCTTCGAAATGTTTCTACAGACCATCACATGTTTCATGTGGGCCACGGACTGGTCTAGCAAGCATCGGATGTTGAGCTCGAGCGATTGAAGGCTGTAGGTGCCCCTAAACCCTAAACCCCCAAACCCTACTTGGAGGTGGGGTTATAGGGGTTCCTGGTTCCTTTAAGGGGTCTATAGGGTTTAGGGTAGTTATAAGTGCGGTTATACGTCCCCTAATATGGGTTACCAGTATAGTTACCCTGCTTATAACCCTACTTATAACTACCCATGAACCTCCAAGTAACCTGCAAACCGATCATCGCAGGAGGCTCTCGAGCTCGGGCCCGCCGATGCAGAAAAAGCTACCTAACCCTATGAATTGATCCGAGGGTACGGATGACTCTTACTATCAATATTGGTATCGTCCTTACTACTAGTATTACGAACTATTACGACTAGTCTTAGTATTATTCATATCATTGCTCTCATGACTACTATTACTCTCAGTATTATCATGATTATCACTGCTGCTCTGTAGGTGGACCTGTGCCAGCCCAGAGAGGCTGGCTGAGGGGCGTTTCAGGTCTCCTCCTCGATGAGAAGCAGCGCGGCGCTGGGTGCCAAGCCAAGCTCCTGACGGCTGCGGGCGCCGATGGGGTGGAAGTTTACTCAGAGACTCCAAAATCCCTTAATTAAGGAATATACCTTAAATTAGAGTAGGATCCCTAGTATGAAGGTACATTCCTTAATTAAGTGATCTTGGAGTCTCTGAGTAGTCACTTTGGCTGAATTTTGGGGCTGGGAATGGCCCTTCATCACACAGCAGAGGGCAGAAGCAGGCGCGCCCTCAACGTACAGTTGAGCTCGCTCGCCACAAACCTCAGCTGTCGCAGACGCAGGCATACGCAGGCTTTCTCAACGATGCAAGAGCAGCAAGCCAGGCTCTTCTGAGACTACAACTTCCGTCTTGGAAACGCAGTGGCGAGTTCAAACCTCGGAAGCCGGACGAAGAGGTCCGTCAAAACAATTAGCAGAGCCTTCTCTTAAACAGATGCTCCGTTCTTCCAATATACCTGCTACGGCGGCTATGGAGCCCCCACCAACCCAGAGACTCCAATATCCCTTAAGTAAGGAATCTACCTTAAATTATATTCGGGATCCTACTATAACTTAAGGTATATTCCTTAACTAAGGGATATTGGCGTCTCTGGGAATGGGGCTGAGGACTTTAGCCGTTTTGGCTTTCGCCACCTCGGATCTGAGGCCTCAGACGATGCGGGGATCTGAAGCTGACGCCCTTCTGCCTCGGGCCTCGAAGCACGAGAACAGCGAAAGAGCTCTCATCTCATTTCCGAGCTCAAAGCTCTGCAGTCTGCTCTGGATACAGTACTCTGCCTTTAGGGCTTGAGGCTTTTTTGTGTCGTCCTTTTTCCTCCCGCGTTATTCAAAGTTGGAATGCCAGTCTGGCTGAGGCAGCTAGTCGGGTTTAGGGTTTAGGGTTTAAGGTGCTCCGACTACTACTGTTGATGATATAAATCCTGCATTACCCACAATAAGGAATATACCATAACTCCCATAGTTTAGGGTCCTTAAGGTAATGCAGGATTTATATCATCAACCGTAGCACTCTACTGCTCTGTGCATCTGGGCCCGGCACAGCAAAGGGGAGCTTTGAGCCTTGGAGAGAGACCGAAGGCACGCGGACCCCCTCGACTTGCTCTTCCTATCATCATCCTAGTCTCCCCAAATGGGAGTTTCCGAAAATAGGGGACCCTGATATAGCACCCTAAATAGTAGGATTCTTGTTTCAGGACCCCAAAATAAGGTCCCCCTAATTTTCGGAAACTCCCAAATCCCGCGCGTCATCCTCATCGCCATCATCCGCTGCTCAGGAGGGGCACAATGACAGTAGCAAAAAGAAGACTACCAAAACATGTGCGGCAAGCAGACCCTTAATTATTGCCAGGAAACTTATTGTTATATTCACCTAGCAGCGATCATAACCACATTTAACAATAACACAAGTACTCATATTATCGTTAGTATGCTTGTTATTCTTGCAGCCCACATCATAACCATAATGAACAGCTCCACGCATGGCTAGTTCTCTAAACTACTGGTAGGGTTCTTTTTGGGCCCAACAAACGCGGCGCCCTTATTCAAAAGGACTCTGGAAAGGGACCCGTGTTTAGAGAACTACGGCTGATGCTATAAATCCTGCATTCCCTTAATGACCCAAGGCTATGGGACTCATGGTATATTCCTCATTATGGGTAATGAATGCAGGATTTTTATCATCAAGCGTAATGTAGGAACCTGAGTAAGAAGCCCTGGGCCTATAACCCCCAAAATAGTAGGATTCACATAAGGAACCCTGATAAAGGCCCAAGGTTTCTTAACCAGGTTCCTACATTGAATATAATATACCCCAAAAGCCTAGAAGGCACCTATATCATAGTACCCTTACAGTGTCCCCGAGACAGACCCCCTTCAGTTTAAGGTTACCCGCAGAATCCGGGCCGGCCGCCCATCGGCGAACTCTGGCCAAAGGGTCCTGCCTCGCATTTGGGCTTAGCTTCGGCTCGCACGCGAAGCCATGAAGAAGCTTCAGTCAGGGGCATCTCTAAACCTGGGTTTCGGGATTTCGGTTGCAGGGTTGAGGAGGATTCTCAAATCGGAGGCACCCCCTAAGTCTCCGAAACCCCCATATGATCTTCTATGCTGCTGAGGCCGAGGCGACTCGAACGTCCGTTCAACCCGCTCGCCCGTGGGCAGTTTCAACACCTGGATGCTAAAGCAGTCACATCTCTGCTTCAGGGTCAACCACGGATCAGGTGAGGTTCGTACAAGCCGGACAGGATCGGCCTGCGAACAGACACGTTGCTTCAAATGACTAGCAGATATTTCCTAGTCACGCCTTGGTAGGCGAGGGCCCTTCGCGGAGAAACTCCTCTGCCAAAGCCCGACGGGCCTCACCAGCACGAGCAACACTCCCAAGCTGCAAACGCGGACAAGTCGATGACATTCTGAATTTCGAATCCACCATCCCTTGAACTGCAGTCTGGAGCTCGCGAGAAGACCCAGCACGAAGCCATGCCTCGTCGGCAGGATCTGCCACTTGCCGGGCTGGCCTCATCCATGTTCGGCTTGAGTCTCCAGCACTCACAATCAGAAATTTGGGAAGCGGCACAAGAGAGCTTGAACCCACCACCCCGATGCGGTTGGACAAGGCAAGCCATAATGTCACCTCGACCTGGAGAAAACGGAAATCCTGTCACCAACTTGTGTTTCGCACGTTGTGCTATGCATTGCGTATGTGTGTGTATATCCTTATGTACGTACCTACGTATGCGCATGCGTAACTATGTACGTACGCACGCAGGCACGCACGGATGGACGGGTGGATGGGCGGATGCATGCATGCATGTATGACTGTGTGTGTGTGTGCGCACATGAGTGTGGTCTGAATGTGTGTGTGTATACATATATACATATATACATATACATAGATATGTGTGTGTCTGTGCATTTGCACACGTGTACGCCTTTGCGTATGCGTATCTGCATCTGCATCTGCGCTTGGAGCTTGGAGTGGAGGTATACTAGTATTATGATGGCGTATGTGATCATGCCAACGTATCTAAGTCAAATAAGTGTACGCTTACTGTTCCAAGTATAAGTGTATATGTGCATGTTTCTACAGATACGCATAGCCAACCGCATGCCCATACACATATGGAAATGTGAGCACAGGTGCATCCGACCACATCTTCGGACATACAGCGATACAGCGTAGAGAGGAAAAGAGAGATGTACATGCATATGTGCCTATACAATCCTACACATGCACATGGGCATTGTAGCTACTCTGAAGGTACTCTGAAGGTTGTGGCACCTGAGGCTTGCACTCGCTACTCTGCTGAACTGGAGCAGGCCTGACAGCCTGCTGCGGAAAGCAGGGACTGCTGGTGCTCCAATGCTTCGAGAGCATGTTTGTTCGAGTTGGGAAAAACGCAAACTCCTGAAAATCGTCGTGAACTGTTGCAGTGCGGCCGAAACCGTTTTTTTTTCAACATGAGTGACACAAAGCGAGGTCTCTCTCTTCCAGCTGGTCGTCGCTCCTCGGACATGCATCCCAAGGACGCTTAGTATTGACGGAATTTGAACCTTTTCATGTCCAGCTTCTCCTTGTATACAAGCCCGACCATTGACTTTCGAACTTTGTTTCGTTCAGATTCCTCCTCAATGTCGCCAGGTACATCCTCGTCGGTGATGATCGCCCTGCCCCGGAAGTCCTCAAGGAGTTCCAGCCTGTAGACCCGTGATCCAATCATACAGCAGGGCTGGCCATCCAGAGCGTCCTTCGCGCGCATGGCCTCAATCACGTCCTCGAAGTAGGCGAAGGCCTGGCCCGTCGGTCTCCGTCCATGGCTGCGCAGAATCTCAACAGCGGAGCCGTTGTGCGAACCGGGAGCCAGCCGAAAGCCCTTGAAGAAGCCCTCGATGTCGTAGGCCGTGGCATGGAATGGCAGACCTCGAAGCCGGAGTCTCGGCAGCCCTGTATCCGCGGAGAAGCATCGAAGCCCGAGCCCCCCTGGCCCCCCGCGCAGGGGCACCCGCAGCAAACCGCCTCGAAAGCACCAGCCCATCGCTGATAGGGCTTCAGACTACCATTCTGCGGGGTTCCCTAGAGTAGAATGGGTCCCCAACACCCTAGTCTAATTCTTAAGGCCCCTATACTAAACCCTGAATTATAGTAATTACCCCTTATAGTAATCCTTATAAATCGGTGAAGCTCCGGAAGCTCGAGCACTGAAGGTGCTCTCGGCAAAGGCAAAGGCAACTCAGCTCCCGACTCGCAGCACTTCAGGCTATTTGATTTCATGGGAGTTTCCGAATATAGGGGTA